TTTGTCTGATGCATTTTTTAGATCAAAGAGTCTTTGAGTCAAATCACTGGTGTCTATCCATAGGGGGATGCTGGTGCCTGAATCAACTGGAGAATGAATCGGTATTTCTAAGGATGGGAGATAATGTTTCTGACCTATTGAGATTTTAAATCTCACCATCTAAGTTGTTTTCTGATGCAATCTCCGAGGGAATGTGTACGTGGCATCCAGGCCCTCCCTGGTGTAAAGCCATTTTCCTACTGCTTCAACATTTCCAAGGTTAGACAGCCCACTCTTTTGTGGGCCAGCTGGATTATCAGAACATGTTCCCGCAACACGAGCTGACGTCTATCTCCCCATACACTTGGCCAAAGCCTCCCCAGTTCTCAACTATGGACATAGTAAAAATGTCACAGCCCTTGAACTATTTAGAGTTACTCAAACACAAACCAACCAAGCCCAACGCCACTGCTGAGTGGAGGCCGACCCACAGCAACCCCACGAGTTACAGAGTAGAACTGCCCCATAGGCTTTCCTTGGCTGCAGTCTTTACTGAAGAAGACTGCCAGGCCTTTCCTCCGTGATACTGCTGGTTGAGTTCAAGTTGCCAATACTTCGGTTAATAGTTTACAACAAATCACATCACCCAAGGGTCTGCAGAATGATTACATCTTTTCTTTTCTGAGTTCAAGGTTCAGAGTGTTTTCAAATTTTCCTCACCTGGATGTTCTCCCTGCCTGGCCTACTCTCTAAGGAGCCCTAGTGATGTAGTGGCTACATCTTCTGCAGAAACCAGCAAGGTTGGCAGTTCAAAACCACCAGCTGCTCTTTGGGAGAAAGAAAGGCTTTCTACTCCTGTAAACAGTTTTAAAAAATTTGCTGAGCATTCTGGTGTGAGGTGGTATCTCATATTGTTTTAATTTGTCTTTCATTCCTAGTGCCCTCGAACATTTCTTCATATGGTTGCTAGTTACCTGGATGGCACCTTCACTAAATGGTCTATTCGTGTCTTGTGACTATTTTTAAAATTCAGTTATATGTATTTTTCTTATTAAAGTGTGTAGGTTTCTATAGATTTCAAGATTAGTCTATTGTCTTATGTATCATTACAAAATAGTTTTCCCCAATCTGTGGGTTCTCTTAACTCTTTTTTCCCCAATCTGTGGGTTCTCTTAACTCTCTTAACTCTTTTCCCCCCAGTCTGTGGGTTCTCTTAACTCTCTTAACTCTTTTTCCCCAATCTATGGGTTCTCTTAGCTCTTTTAAAAATACCACATATGTGGTCTTTTTAGGAGGTCCGACTTCTTTATTTGTATCCTGTAATGTGGATTATTTTTCATTGTGTTTGTATGTATGCCTTGTATCAGGCCTTTAAATTTGTTCCTACTTTTTTGTTGATGGTTTTTTAAAAAAAAATTTTATTGGGGGCTCGCACAACTCTTTTTTTTTTTTTTTTAACATTTTATTGGGGGCTCATACAATTCTTATCACAATCCATAC